ATTGATTTAGAAAGTTTTTTCTTTCTATTTCTTTCTTTCTATTTTTGTACTTTCTATTTTTTCTTCTTTCTATTTTTCTTTCTATTTATTGCAGCAGCTTACTGTATAAATATGCCCATTGGCAATAGAATGAAACATATCAGTATTCTACCATTCCAAAACACCCTACTTAAGTATGGGACACATCACCTAACTCAATATTACACCTCATATTAAACATAAACAAAAAGACTAATCTGCCCCTATATAATCGACACTAACAGATAACATTGGATTAAATTCAATCAATTTGACAGCTCTAGGCTCAACAATGGGGTATTCATTGAAAATCCCCATTTCTGCAGGATAAAGATCATAGTACTATCTGCAATTTTGCACTACAGTAGTGTCATATCAGGTGTACTGTGGTTGCCAATTACTAGGCATCAATTACTTTGACTGTATTAAATCTACCTGGAAAGATGGCATGATCCATAGAAATGGACTAATCCTTTGGCCTCATTGGATAAACAGCCTTATTGAAAGTCTGAAGTTTTGTCTAAATTTTTGATAACCAAGATGGCATATTACTTACTTGATTGACTGATCTTATCAGCTAGACAAGCCTGTCCATTGGTATTTCTTTATTAGGAGAATATCAATGTTTTATATTGGATAAAAGTAAATAAAAAAACACTAACAGATATGTCATCAATCACTATTTGAATTGAATATGAAAATTTCAACTGATTGTAATGCTCAAGCATGGTATATGGTGTAAAGGTATATGTGTGTTTTTATGCTTGTATATTATAATCATATTCACCATTGCCATCGTCCAATGTAGTAGCTTGATGCCTGAACCAACTTCTTTGGGTGTATCTAACTTGCATGCCTTGACAGCTGCAGAAAAATTGGAACCCACCAAAAGAAGGGAAATCAATACTGTCCATCCACTGGTTATAGGTTTATGGCATTCTGTTTAATGCATCCAATTAAACCAGCCTACCCAAAACTGTTTTAAGAAATGAAAGTACAAAAGTAAGAAATGAAGTGAATAAGGCCATTATTTATCAAAAACAAAAAATTGAATAAGGTCGTTACCCAATGTTGGTCCCAGCTATCTGAGGTTATGGGAGGGGTAGACTGGACACTGTCCTAACCTATGGCTTTTTTTATTTATTTTTATTTTTTTAACACAAAGTGGCCACTCTCAGACTCAAACTTGTTTTCTTGCACTTGCCAACACGAGATTTTCCCATTAAACCAAGTAATGGCCCCTACATGATCCAAACAAGGACTTAAAAAAAAAAAGTGAGCAAAGGCTCTGCAAAGTAAATGGAGGCCTGCTGAACCTGTTCTTTTTCCAGAGTATGCTTTCACATAACACTTTTAAGATCTTGGTTAAATGAAATATTTGATCAAAGGTATTTTCCATTTCCATGGGATTGAAATGTTGGATGCCTGTTATTGAACTATCAGATTTATGGTAGATTGCTATCCCTGTTATCGAACTATCAGATATATGGTAGAGTGCTAAATGTGTTTGGAATTGTTTTCAATTTCTTCTATGATCAAACTTATATAGTCCACAATGGTATTATTTTATTCTAATCTAGATTTTTTTTTTGAGTTGTAGCACAAATTTATTGAAAAATGTAAATGGGGAGCTTCTGCAATGTTGCCAAAGATTGAAAAAGCAAGGCAAATTAGAGCTTCAATGGCTGTGCAAGCACAGAATCATGCTCTGGGAACCAGTATATCAGGAGATGGAGTAAGTATATTTTGACTTTGTATTTCTATGATTGATTTTTCTTTAATGCATTCTTTCTGTTTTTTTATAACTATCCTTATTTTCTCCTTATCTGAAATAGTTATTGGAGGAAAGAAAGAGTCCAAAATTAAATGAAGATTTTGGAGACACTGTTCCATCGAGACCTCAAAACATTGGACTTCAAGTTCTAAAAGAAGTTCATACGCTTCGCAGTTCAATGAAGTATCCGACATCTACTGGTGGAGAACTGCTTGGAGAAGGTAATCGTATACGATGTCTGTTAACTTTCATAACCTGTTTTGTGTTCTCCTGGCACATGGTGTTATTGGTGAAATTCTAGATAACAAATTCATGCATAAATTAGGTCCATAAAAGTTCAGGCAACTATAAAGGATAGTTGCCCATTTATGCTTGGTCCAGATTAGAAATATTCTTGATCTTCATTTATAAGTTTGGTTGCCACAGAAAATAACCCCCTTTTAGGGAATATAAGAACACCAAATCTTTAAGCTAGGAAAAATGCTTGGGGTTGATGAGTTAAACTTGCTAAAAAAACAAGAAAAGTTGATAAAGATCCGGAGCTGTCCTATAACCAATTTCTTCTGTTTTCTTCAGCTGGTCATACTATGAAGTTTCTGCAATAATTCAGTCATAGGTTTTATTTTCCAATCTTTCAAGTTTGTTCTCAACCATGGATCCCAAACAGCTTCATCATTTTCAATATTGTAGCAATCAGCCATGAGCGAATCCCTGTTTCAGGCTGTCATATGTAGGGAAGGATAAATCTCCATAAGTGCACTGTCATCACAGTATGCATCCCTCCAGAATCTTGTGTGCCCTCACCAAATTTAAATCAGATACTTTCATGAATTGTGTGTAGGATTCTCTATTCCTTTTCAGAGAGCACATCAATATAAACTTGACTCTCTGAGGTTTCACTGCATGATACATAATCTGCCTTAATAAACATCCAAAATCACTTGCAATAAGGACCATATTTACGGTCCTCAACCTTGTGTGTGTGCATACATAGTAGAAAATTGTTTAACAATAAGAGTTAAAATGAAAGTACCATTAAATTTGATGGTCAGGATATTCCTAAAAAGTGACGATTTTCACTATTTTTTTAAGTTCATACTTCATAGTAGGATAGAGTTGAAGAGGATATTTCCCAAATGATCAAAGTGGAGTGGAAAAAATAGAGGTGTTCTTTTGAAGTATTTTGCAAGACTTCTTTTATTAGTAATATTGAAAGACTTTATTGATTATGATAAAGAAATATCATTCTAGGCTAATGCTACAACCTTGCATTTGCTTTTTACATGTAATTTTTTTTTATAATAAACAAAAAAGAAAATTTTATTAAGAAGAGAGAGAAGAATACAACAAGATATCACCCCCAAAACTCGATACCCTTTACCAAAAACAACAGAAACCTCCAAACCCTTTGATTACAATCTTTTACTCCCTGAAACCTTGCACAACAGAGAAAAAAAAAAGAAAAATGCTGCCAAGACCTAACAAAAACTTCAAATCCCAAGACAATCCTTACTCCCCTCCCGAATAATTCTCCCCTTTCAAATTTTCCTCATTCAACAGATTTTTCCCTTCCAATTCTTGAAACTTTTTTCTTTGCAAATTCCACCCCTCTGATAAAGTGTAAATCCAACATTTTGCCTACTTGGACTTCAGTTTCCACTATCTTATTCAAATGCATACTCCTAATTTTCTCACCCTGTCTTACTCTACGTCTTCATCTTCTTCTTTCTCTTCCTCTAGGTCATCCTCAGCCTCAAGGTCCTTCAAATTTACTGATACGATTTCCTTTTGGGTGATTAAACCATTTACATGCTCTTCTTTCTCCAATCCTTTTTCCATATGAACCACATTAGAGCTGATTTTATCATTGCTCTTTGTTCTAATTTTATCCTTCAATCCCTTCCTCTTGTAATATCTTTTGTATTTATTACGTATTTATTACAATGACTGGCCTCTAAAAGCCCTTCCTTCAAGCATTTAAAAACTTTTGTTTCATGAACTAAGGCCCAAATTGGTATCATTCTGAAGGAACACTTTCTTTTTTTTTATTTTGAAAAATTCTCATGTTTATATATGTTAGTGGTGTTAGTGAAGGGGTATTTTGGTCTTTGCACTTGTTGAGAATGTTGATGTGTACTRYTATKTTAGTTCGRGTSCCTCTTACTTAAATAAGGGCACTTAAGTCTTTTCCAATAAGTTAATAATATAATAACARGTCTGGCCGAATCTAGGTATAACTTTTTTCTCTAATTCGAACCAGACCTTCTCTCTTTTCTCTCTTCTTCTTTCCTCTCCTATTTCTACTTCTTCCTGTTCACTTTACTTTACACTCAACGAACAAGACAGAATTCTAGGGCAGGTCGAACTTCAAATGGTATCAGAGCCACATTGAACAAATCAGACTTGCTAGAATTCTGTCTTCTGCGCATTCGAACTAGGGTTTCTCAGCTGTGAGTTGGAGACTGGGAAAAGGGCTGAAAAGGAGTGATCGCCCTCTTCCCTTGGAGGTTCCTATGCCTCTGATTGTGTCGTTGGTGATTGGTTGCTGTGGTTTCTAAGCCCTAATTAGGGCYGGTACGTGTGGTGCAGTGGTGTCTCAGTCCTTCGTGTGGTTGGCCTTCAGGCGATGAGGTAAAGTTTCCTTTTATGCATATTTTCTGTTATGGAATACATGAGAGGTGTAGTACAG